GAAATAGTCCATGTAAAACACTGATGTCCCTTGAAGTAAAAATTATAATTTTAATCAATATATAAATTGGATCTCAGACCCATTTGCCGGAATCACGGGGTCAAGGACCTTTAAAACCGTGCAACTGGAGGAAATCATGGAAAATTCATGACTGAATGCCAGCCATGGTCTCACGAGAAAACTCACGTGGACATGGTGAATTGTGTGTTATCAGAGGCAGTTCACCCCACGAAGTGAGAGAAAGAGTCCACTTCACAAAGGGAAAAGAGCAGTTGACTCCACAATATTAAAGTGGAAGGACGCATTGTCAGAGCCTCTGATAACTGATGGGTGAAGATTGCGTAAATATCCCTAAACAGATTTAACCCACATTTAATTCACACGTTTGTTAGACTGGTCGACTTGCTAAGGGTTACGATGTTCCGGCTCTGTTGTTTGCTCTCTGTATTGTCTTCCATTTACGTTTTCATTCATAGAAAGAGAGTGCCTGTGACAAAGGATGCAGTACTCTCTAGGGAGGGTTGTGTAAGGGCCAGTACTGCATGTTCTTTGAGTGTTGAATGCGCTGGCGTGCTGAAACATTCAAGACTAGATATCGACGGCTTGCAAAACACCCCCATACACTTATGCGAAGGTGAGAGGTTCAGGAACTCTCAATCAGAAGTGACCTAGTTTGTAAATAGGCGGGGGTGGAAAGATTTTCGTTACAAGACCAGAGCACCTAACCACCAATTCCCCCACTCCCCAACCCATGGTACGATGGTAAAGACTGGTAACGTGATGCGTATAATCCCGGCTAACGGCCACGCTAGAATCCAGCAACGACGAGAAATGACTGAATGGTTTTCCGCCCTCTTCCCCCTCTCCCCTACCTACCCATTCCGGATGCACTATGAGTACAATCCCCATCCCATCCCCAGAGAGCACTTGAGTCCGATACCCCACGAGCCACAACCATCCTAACAGCTGAAAATGTGATTCTCAAAGCGAGAAATGGGTGTTCCAGGGATCTGGTATTTATCTACACCGGAGCCTAGCTACCAACCCAAACCGACACAATCGGACCACACTGTAACAAATGATGCATAGAATCATTGTGAGGCTTCACCTAATACATCTCCATAATATGATTATCTCGTTCTTATTGCAGAAGACAACCTTAAGACCATTATGGTCACACGCAGAATATTTTCACATTCCGGATCAATTCAAACCCAAAAACTGTTTTCAGTACGTTTTGGCAAATTACAATACTCAACATTTTTTTTAAAACTATAAATGGTCGTCCAAAGAAAGTTATGTTGAGAAGCTCGCTCTCCTACGATATAAGCCTGGCCAAATCAGAAGGAGCTGAAACCAAGGAGACATTTTCAGAAATGAAAGGGAAAGAAGAACACAGTTGACAGCAGGATAGGGAATGAGCAGTCTGACTTGGATGAAGAAGCATTAGGCCCAGAGACGGTGCAAATACCAGAATTTTAGCCATGAAAGTGGCGCAGATAAACAATACCACAAATATAGTTGGAGACTATTGGCAGCTTCGGCTAGCTAGCAGAAGGTTGAACGTGGTTGAGTTTTTTATTTTTTGTTTCCTAAGAATTGGAATTGGAGTTTTGCGTTATGTTAACCTAACTGATGTTTCTATAACGTGCGCAGCTGTAGCGCGGAATCAGGGATCTTGGGTGACGTGCATGAAGGTATGTTCTAGCCCGGGTGTTGCCACACTAGACCTGCACAGCTATGTGTTACCCTGGAGTTAACTGTCTAGACTATCTGCGGGAGTTACAACTGTAGCCCGTTTCAGCGTGACGGAGGTTCGTGAGGCGAGATCAGGGGATCTCAAGTTACGTAGGAGGCCTTAGACGGAGTGTCTAGAAAATTATCATAAAGTATTGTGCATCAGCCTGTATAATATCTCTAATGACTGTATATCCAAGTGATAGTTGTCAGAGAGACAGTCACGTAACCACGAGCAGTGGATCTGCGCGAGCGGGAAGTGAGTGTCCATAGCCACTACCGAACATAGGGTGGCATAGAAGTCTTCCAGAGCGTCCTGAATGTGTATGCACTGGTATTGAGGATAGCAGAAGCAGTATGCAGTTCGTATCTCGTGATGCTAAAAGAGAAAATTAAAGAGTACTATGTCATTGTCTGCAGATTTTATAATTTGAAAGGGCCGCCTCGTTTTTATCTCTGACCGCAAATGCACAGGGGTCATCCAATTCTTTCTCAAAGAATCCCTAATACTAGGTCTGCACGTGAAACGAGATTTAAATATGAGGAACTAAGGTCGAGATTAAGTATGTCATGAAGATTGTCAGCTCTCAAAAAGTATCATTCTATTTGCATTGAAAGCTTTACTCTTAGAGAGGATCTTCCTGACTGAGTGGTCTAGCCGTTTGCCCCCTGCTCTAAAGGCGGAAGTTTCATGTTTAAAATGTGTCAGTGGCGTAATATCTGTCAGAGAAGAGTAAGATAGACAAAGTCACGAAATAATAACATTAAACTATTAACGTCTGGCGGTATTTGTATGCATATTCACATTGCTGAGGACAGAGAGTGGTGTGGAACTGATTACTGTTACTTCTATATTGGCATCTAGGATTAGAGAGACAATTGTGAGATAATTCTACAGCTTGGAATGTATTCCAGTATTTTTACTAACAATCAAACACTGTCGTTGGGATGTGAAGTATGGTCGATAACACAATTTGAGTCCCATACTTAAGAGAGAGGGTGGGCCTTTCGTTTCCTAGTTACTTTTCCTTCATTACAATACCCTTCCAGTTCTGAAAATTATATCCTACCCATATTTTACGAGACTTGCACCGTCATCATCATGTAGCAGGTCTTTTGCAGAACGTCGCTCTCATCCTGGTCTGCCTTAAAAAAATTATTTTCTCGCCAGCTCTCCCGCCTCGTGCACTTTCATTTTCAAGAAGTCACTTAAATCGTGCGCCCATCTTTGTGCTGGCCAACCCTTGTCCCTCCTTTCTGGCAACATGTCTTCTGCTGCTATTCTTGCCGATACACCTTTGTGCCAGATATGGCCAAAATATTACAGTTTTTAAGACCAGATGCTATTTACTAGCCAATCAATCTTGATGTTTAGATCCTTCATGGTGTCAACATTTCTTTTTTAAACCCTTGGATCATAATATTCTGAAAATTCAGGTTTTTTTTTTTTTTTTTTAACGTGACCGAGACATCGAAAAATCGTGTGAAAAAAAAACAAATCCTGCCACTTCTGGATATTTAACTGGGCCCATATGTAGGAGGACACAATCACTAACCGCAACGAACGCTCGGCTGTGTTGTACCAGCGACTCCGAATTTACTTCTAAACTACAAACATAAAGGGCGCAAGTAAATGACTGGGTTAGATAGTTCTAAGTTTTCTTGAAAGAGGACTAGTATATTGTATATTTTCATCCATATTGTCACTATCAGGAAATCTAAGAAACGACAAATCATTGCTGGGAACAACTAGCAAGTGTCTGGGGCGGAGTAGTGCAAAAGCTAAACATTATCTTGAAGACATTAGGCAATTTGGTTTGAATCCGTATCAAAGTGAATTTAAAAAAAAAATTATCTCAACACCTAGGCTGACCTCTCCTTATTAGGTTATCATGAAATGTCACGTGACATAAGGATATGACGTTGACCACACAATTACTGAGTACCGATTGGTCGCCAGAAATGTAGATGTAGTTCTTATCTTTACCTGCAAAAGTCGATTAGTTATAAAGCTTAAATGCTTTTATACAAAGTGACGAACCAACGAAGTAACAACTGTATTTCTGTAGTGAACCAAATAGGCTCGTACGCCCGATTTATATCTGTCCCTTTTCAAACACCCATCTTTCACAAGGCAAATGTTTTTTTTTTAACACATTTATAATGTTATGGTTTTAAATATGTCTATATATATATATATATATATATATATATATATATATATATATATATATATATATCGACCTTCCTATTAGAAATTTTAAGTAAAATTCGTGGATGGCAAATGCATAGCTTCATATATGCATCAAAAATACATACATACCACGCAGACACGCAAGCAAGGCGGGCGTACAAACACAAACACATACCGCACACATACACTTTTGCACACGAAGGCACACACACTGACAAAAACACACACACACACATATATACATACACACAACATAAACATAGATACAAAACTCACACAAACACAGTACATACACAGACATAACATGAACGCAGATCCATAACACACGTGCAGATATAATAAGCAAACACACTGACTTACACACAGAGAGGTGCACTACATAAGACGTCGATTTCCCAGCCTCATGGATTGCTTTAACCTTCCTGGGGTGCATATATAGTGACAATTAATCATTCTAAACAGAACGCAGCACCCAAAAGCTATTCCGTGTCTGTCTGAATCCATAGCACAGCGATGACCCTTCTAATAAAGGGTCATCTTCTATATTTATGAAACTGTCAGGAAAAAGATTTTTCGTAGGAGACATAGACAGGTTACCCGATGCTATACGTTTACAGTGGTCGACTTTATCTAGCATAAATTTACACACACAGAGACCGCTACACAAACTGTAGGGGCAATTCCGATTTCCGATTTGTTTGAAAAAAAATAAAAGTTCCTGTCACCCTAACCAGCTCCAATATTGAGCGGCGGTTATTTTGGGACTGCGTATATTTGTTTGGAATATCCAATAGTTATTTGTCCATTGTGGCGTGTCCATACGCCTGTGAACTGTAGGGGGCAGTGTTTCGTCACCTCTTTAAGTTGTCCGTAAGTGACCAGATTCAACAAATAGGTCCGATTGATGTATGTTTGATATTCGTTAAATATTTGTTCAGCTAATGGGCTAAGAGTGTTGATGCAGTTCAGTACGGACGATTGCCACGGCACTTCGGTAATACGAAAAAGTGCTCCGCTCTCCTTCGTGACTAATGATTTTATCTAACAAAGGCTGTGTGCTAGTCATGTGATGACAAACCTGCATGGAATTTTATTAAATATTACTTTAAACTTTACTACAAGTCTTACTACAACTCTTACTACAAGCATTACTACAACTCTTACAACAAGTCTCACTACAAGTCTTACTACAAGCCTTACTACAATTCTTACTACAAGTCTCACTACAAGTCTTACTACAAGTCTTACTACAAGTCTTACTACAAGTCTTACTACAAGTCTTACTACAAGCCTTACTACAAGCCTTACTACAAGTCTCACTACAAGTCTTACTACAAGCCTTACTACAACTCTTACTACAAGCCTTACTACAAGTCTTACTACAAGCCTTACTACAACTCTTACAACAAGTCTCACTACAAGTCTTACTACAAGCCTTACTAGAACTCTTACAACAAGTCTCACTACAAGTCTTACTACAAGCATTACTACAACTCTTACAACAAGTCTCACTACAAGTCTTACTACATGCCTTACTACAATTCTTACAACAAGTCTCACTACAAGTCTTACTACAAGCCTTACTACAATTCTTACAACAAGTCTCACTACAAGAGTTACAACAAGCCTTACTACAAGCATTACTACAACTCTCACTAAAAGCCTCACTACAAGTCTCACTACAACTCTTACAACAAGCATTACTACAAGCCTTACTACAGCTCTTACTACAAGCATTACTACAACACTTATAACACGTCTCACTACAAGTCTTACTACAAGCTTTACTACAAGCCTTACTACAAGTCTTACTACAAGTCTTACTACAAGCCTTACTACAAGCCTTACTACAAGTCTTACTACAAGTATTACTACAAGCCTTACTACAAGCCTTACTACAAGCCTTACTACAAGCCTTACTACAAGTCTCACTACAACTCTTACTACAAGCCTTACTACAAGCCTTACTACAAGCCTTACTACAACTCTTACTACAAGCCTTACTACAAGTCTCACTACAACTCTTACTACAAGCCTTACTACAAGCCTTACTACAAGCCTTACTACAACTCTTACTACAAGCCTTACTACAAGTCTTACGACAAGTCTTACTACATCTCTTACTACAAGCCTTACTACAAGCATTACTACAAGTCTTACTACAACTCTTACTACAACTCTTACTACAAGCCTTACTAAAAGTCTTACTACAAGCCTTACTACAAGCCTTACTACAAGCCTTACTACAAGTCTTACTACAAGTCTTACTACAATTCTTACTACAAGTCTTACTACAAGTCTTACTACAAGCCTTACTACAAGTCTTACTACAAGCCTTATTACAAGTCTTACTACAAGTCTTACTACAACACTTACTACAAGCCTTATTACAAGTCTGTCTACAAGCCTTATTACAAGTCTTACTACAAGCCTTATTACAAGTCTTACTACAAGTCTTACTACAAGTCTTATAACAAGTCTTACTACAAGCCTTACTACAACTCTTACTGCAAGTCTTACTACAACTCTTACTACAAGTCTTATAACAAGTCTTACTACAAGCCTTATTACAAGTCTTACTACAAGCCTTACTACAAGTCTTACTACAAATCTTACTACAACTCTTATTACAAGCCTGACTAAAAGTCAGTACAAATCTCGCTAGAAGTCTTACTTGAAGTCGTACATGTCACAAAGTGTTGTATATAGTTGATGGTATCCTCTGTGATTGTCTTCTGAGACAATTGGTTTTTAAAGGATAATGATTGAAAAGCAGATGCAATAAAGGATGTTAGTAGGTCAACATAATTTATGGAAAGCGTTGACAACTTTATGGCGGGGTTGACGACTGAGAATATTATGGATGAGCGGATAGAGAGCTGCACTAAATGCCACCGAGTGTTGTGGGAAAACAAGATAGTTTGCGCTGCACGGTATAGCACTGGAGGATGATGATGGTGACAGTGATAATGATGGCAGTAACAATAATGATGATGATTATAATGATGATTTTTGAAAATGGTGTATAGTGGTTTTTTTTTTTTTTTTTTAGGGGGGTGGGGGATTTTTCTATTTTACCCCAAACATAGTCTATTGCGCTGTTGCCTCTTCTTTGTGAATCCAAGGTATTGCGTAATATGTTATTTTCCTTTGAGTTTGGTCAGTACATGCTCAAAACCCCCTATGTGGCCACTTTTTTCTCCATAATTTTTCTTCACCGTTCGCTATCAGCTGTACAGCTTTCATGAGACTGAAGAAGCTAAAGATAGAACTGACCATGTCAAATTTACTTTCACTTTGTCATATTTAAACAGGTTTTTACACTAAATTCTTCTACTCGAAATACAATTAAATACGTTACAAAACCAGACAAAAATGTACCTCACATACTTCTGTGATATTCTATGAAGTTAGATATTAAAAAGATTACTTTAACTGCTTTAATTTGAATATCAAATGTATTACTGAAATGTGCTATGCTGCACGTTTGAGTTCCTGATAATGTGAATTCTATAAAAGATCGCAAGCATTCCTAACAGAGTTGAGAAATTAATTCCAACATCAAAAATTGGAAAGTATCATGATAGACATGGCGTTTGCAGAACACCCGAAACACTTAATTAAAATAATGTGTCATGAACAACCAGCAGCCGTCTGAGCAGGTGATGAAACATCAAACTGGTTTGCGATGTAAACGGGAGCTTCGTACGATTGCATCCTCCAGCTAAACCAGTTCAACATATAAGCAGAAAATGTAAAACGGGCATAAAAATGAAATAACCTGTGACGATCTTTTATTAATCTGTAACTGGTGAAAATCTAAGTCTACATCTCAGTGTGTTAGTTTTTTTATTCAAGAAGTTATAACATTTAGTTTTGTCTTTAAAACAACACAAGATAGGTCACACTAACTTTCTAATAATTTAACTGGGTCAGAACCAGAGATCTCACTATACCTACTTGGTTGACTAATTACATAGTACACATTTCTGAACTCTTTCTGTTTCATTTGCTCGGTATGGTCACGCAGTGTTAATATCATTTCGCAAATCTTAAAGTTACAAATTTCAAAAGGCTTTAAGATGTGACTCAAAGGTCCCAAAAAAAAAAGACTTCAAATTAAACAGTGTTGACTTAAGAATAACCACTTGGAACTGAAAATGTGAAAACCTACTTTACCCTCTACCAATAATAATAATAGTAAGTAAAGTAAAGGTTAAGGTCCCTTTTCACGCCTTTAGGCGTATAGCACATAAAGTAGAGACCTATATTTTTATAGACCAAACGGCACAAGATGTGTGATTTGGTCAGCATCACGCCGGACGCCTTTACTTCCCGGGACTGCACCCGGTACCCACTCAATGCTCGGTCGACCTTGGAGTCAGGTCATTTTTTGAAAATGCCAGGTTCCGCAGGGAGCGAATCCACGCACTACCTATCCGCACGCGAGCGTCTAGCCGCCACTCCACGGCGACTCCCCTAAAATAATAATAGTAATAATAATAAATATCCACATATTTAAAACAAAACTACTAAATGTCTTCAACAAATCCAGTGTATACTGACAATTGCAAAATGTTTTCTGAATATTTTTATCTATAATTATCAGTAACGGGGACTGCCCTAACACAGTCAGGTGGAGGATGACAATAGTGATGGCTAGGTTAAACTCTGTTCAAATTATGTGGGACAACTTTAGCAATCATTTATAAGTATTTGTTTAAGAACATTCTTCTTTGCCATCGTCAGTTGTAAGGTCACAAGCCATGCATATGTCTGTCCTATAATCAGCTGTGACGTCGTACATCTTTGCCACAGTCAAATGTGAATCACGTTCAAACCTGTCGATGGTAGGCAGACAGCTGACGCTCAAAATTTGTTTCCACATATGTTTAGCTGATGTGAATTTCTATTTTGGGGACTGACAGTCTAAAGGTTTAATCGACCAGCCACTGAGTGGATTGTTTGTGTGCGACACTGTGAGCTGCCTGTTTCTTGTGGAATGTGGTCCCTTTATGTGATGTCTTTAGCAAAACCATCTATGAACACAAAACATATGTTCAAGTATGAAAGGGATACAGGTTGCTGAGCACAGAAACGCACTAGGCGTTTTGCGCCTGATTTAGTTCGTTCTTTTTTGAGATATCAGTCTTAGGACTCCGAGAACAGTACTGGAAAGATTGGTACAGCTCGTTCCCGATTACGATGTAGGAATTTCATGCATCATTTCAAGCCAGTTATTGGTGAAGGAAGTATCCTATACAAGAGTACATGTGGTGAGCAATTCTGCTAGTAGACATTTCAGCTCAGGCCCTCCTTCCACACAATATCTAACGTATGATTAAGGTAATAATAAAGTAACAACGAAGACTAACCTGTGAAGTAGTGTTAATGAGGAGTATGTTAATGAGGAGTATGTTAATGAGGAGTATGTTAATGAGGAGAATTAATCAAACTGATAATATCTTATAATTACTTTATTTTGACAAATATGTCATTACTACTTTTTATATTACCTGTTTAGCAATACTGAAACATTTGGGAAAATTAAAGGTCCCTTTTCCACGCCTTCGGGCGTATTGGGCATATGGGGTAAGACCTAGATTTCATACACCAGCGGCACTTTCTGGGTGATGTGGTCAGCATCACGCCGGCCATCTTTACTTCTCAATATTGTACACGGTACCCACTCAAGCCTAGGTCGACCGGGATGCCAAGTTTATTTTTTAAAACAGTCTACCTCGATCAAGATCCGAACACACGACCTTTCAATACTTAGGCTATCTTACTTTTTTTTCGATCCTAATTTAAGCTGAGGCACCCTCCCCTTTCCAACCCTGACCATCCAACCTGGGCTCCAGTGGCCCTACCCATCCCGCCCCTACCCTTAATTTTGACCTAGGTAGATAGCTCTCCACCGCACCGTCTTAGCTCACATTTAAGGAAGCACTGGCTTACAGCATTCAGAACCAGTGGGGTTCATTGCTGGAAAGATACCACACCAGAGAAGGGCACAGCTAAATCTGAAGTCTGTACACGACTTGTGTCTTCACATACAGCTTGATTCCTATTGCTACACACATTGACCAAGCCAGGGATCTCTCATGTATAGAGCATGCCTGCAGCACGTATTCAATATTTTCTGGTACCTTTCCTCATAAACAAAGCACTGAATTCTTCTTCCTTCGTTAGCTTGAAATAGATTATCTATATCTGCAATGTTGTCTCTTGTATGAACTTCGCTGTCTTTTGTAATTCACTCAGCAACACGTAAAGTTTGACTTGCACCGATGTTTCTCTTGGCCAAAAGTGATGCCTTGATATGTTGCAATGAATTCCTAATCTTGAATTTCTTGGACGCAGTGTTAAAGATTATCAACAGTCAAACAATGTGCATTAGGACTTAATTTACACATTACCTTTATTCATATGTTCTGGTAGCCACTGATCGAAGCACAGCTTGTCCAGTGATATGGGACGACCTGGTCTGTTGGGACATGACCAGTGCTGGTGCAGTGGCCAGGAAATCTTGTCCTGGTTACATCAACGGGTTTAACAAAAACGGTAAGTGCGTCTCCGATAGTGTCGTCTTGTATGTGATTTTCATTTGAGGTTTTCGACAGAAAATCTGCAATATATTTTTAGCCTGTAATATATTCTTTAAAATGTACTATAATATCATGTAATATAATAGCTAAATAGTATTGTATGCTCTTTAGATTATTCTCTGACCTTTTTTTTCAGCATTCCGAGCTCTTGAGTTTCATTGTTGCAAATATCACCCGCTTCCATTGATCTCTCTGGTAGGCCATCTCTTTCCAGTTGATGACACTAAGTGTTTGTAGGTCTGTCTGGACGTTATCTCTCCATCGTCTTCTTGGTCTGCCTTGTGACCTACAATGATGCATGCTCTGCCTACTGTATACAGTTTTTTCTCTCTGTTATCTGACATTCTTTAAATGTACCCCAACCATTTCAGTCTTTTAGCTATAATGATGCCAGTGATCGATGGTAATTTAAACAGATTATGAATTTCGTTGTTGCTTTCACTCTCCATTCACCGCTGTTAGCATCTTTGATGGGTCCAAAGATTCGACGTAAGACTCTTTTTTTCGAAAACCTGTAATAACGCTTTACCTCTTCTAGTTGTGCTCCAAGTTTCAGAGCCATATAAAACGCATAGTTTTATCAACGTTTTAATATATTTTGATCTTAATGTTGCAAGACAGACACGTTGACTTTAGCAGATGTTGAAGGACATGGTGTACTTTTTGTCCATATTGTATTCTAGATTGAATTTCTTCTCTCAGCATTTTGGAGCAGTTGAAGTTTGCACCCACATACTTATACGTTTCCGTTCGTTTGATTTTCATAAAATCGACTTGTATATGGCCGTAGTTTATATCCTTTCCATGTCTTGTTATTATCATTCATTCTGTGTTATCTTGACTGATAACTAACTAGCCCTTTTTTGTGAGCTGCTTCTTTTAAAAGAGTTAGTTTTTTTACAGTCTCTTTATTTTCTCTAACCAGATGCTACTCTCTTATATATGTGGAAAATAATTTGTAATATACTCTGTAATATTTATCTCATAATTACAAGTATATTCATAGGTGTCAACACATTGGGGTCCCGAGCAGCGGATAACATTTCCTGTGTTATTCAACACATTCATGTGCATTGCAAAAGGATATAAACAATCTTTTTTATAAAATAAAGTGCATTTGACTTTTTTTTTTTAACGTTTTTTTTTTTTTCTACCTCTTTCCCAAAATACTTTTAGTTATCATAGTATTTTTTTTTAAATTCTTATCGCGTTGCCAAAAATAATGATTGTCTATTCTTCTTCATCTTCTTCTTCTTATCCATTTCTTCTTCTCTTTCTTTTTATTCTTCTAATTCACTTCTTCTTTAACAACTTCGTCTGTCGACTGGGAGATTGAATTGTGCTTCTTGCTCTTCTGGCCGCCTTTAATCATAAACACATCGTGCTGTTGTTGTTTCTTTGTTTTCTTTCAGTCCCATTTGGTCTACCTTGTGCCCCACCTCCTTCTTCTCTGTTTATGAATGCATTGTACGCAGTATTCACAGCAATGTGATATTCCCAAACCTTTTTATGTAACATGCAAGAATTGTTTTTTCTAAACTTCAAAGACAGTGATTATTGCATTAGACGGTGATTACAAGAAAATGAAATTTGTGTCTGTCTTATTCAGTTTATTAAATCTTTGGAGAACATTTTCTATCCTACGTTGTCCATATTAAATATGCCTAAACATCTTAACCTGTTCCTATCGTGAATAAATTATCTGACCTTCAAATGCACACAGAGACGCTATCACGTCCTTTGATATAATCATTACTTAGGCCTTGCCGGTTTCTGGCTGGGTTAATAACTTTAGCTATATCAAGTAGTAGAAAATAGCTGCTTCCAAACTTTCTGTAAGCTTTCCTATAAACATTATTATAGCGACATTCAGGCCTCAACCATCTTCCTCGCCGAGAAACAGTTGTGTGAGAAGACTTTTTATAAAGGTGTATTTCCAGAGCTAGGACACAAGGGAGGCACAGTGAGAGTTGAAGCCGGCATCATCTAACATATTTAAGTTTCGGATATTCATACCAAGCTTTTCCTGTAAAAAAGGTAAAGGACCCTTTTCCACGCCTTTGTGCATATCGGGCTAGACCTATATTTTATAGACCAATCGGCACAAGATGGGTGATGTGGTCAGCATCACTCCAGCCGCCTTTACTTCCCGGGACTGCACCCAGTACCCACTCAAAGCTGGGTCGACCTGGAAGCCAAGGTATTTTTTTTTTTAAAGTCTGGGAGCGAACCCACTACCTTCCGATCAGAGGCTCGCGTCTAGCCACGGCAGCTCCCAGCTTTTTCTGTAATGATGTTTAATTACGCAGATATAAACTATACGTTCCACAATTTATTGCCAGGCATTTTTCACTGCATTTCGTCAGGTGCGTTAGTGCAGGTTTTTTTTCAGTATATAATGTGGCGGGTAAATTCTCTTTGAACTAGCGAATGCACTATGTGCAATTTACAAAGGGAATTACAAACAGTGAAACATCATACAGTCTTATATTACCCCCAGCCTTGCTGGTTAAATGAGATGATTCGGGGTTTGCCCACATCTTATTCTCTACTGTTATTAAACTTGTATATTTAAATGTTCTTAAGTTCACTGACACAAATAATTACAGTTAAAAATAACTCCATAACACTGAAAGATACATTACAACTGTAACATGTATCTGGAAAATTCTAGCTAATATTTAAATTGGCCGTGGAGATAAAATCCTTTTATATGAGGTTAGTAGACAAATCTGTCCACTTAGCTGTAGCTAGCGTTTCTTTGGTCAGCTTCTAGCTAAGCCTCGGAGACACATCAGGCAGGCCGACTCTTCCAGTCCAGACAATCGGGCATCTTCAGCTACGCTGGAATTTAGTTATGGAACTCCCACCTGGAACTATCATCTGGAACTAGAACAATAGAACAGTTTGGAAAGTTCTCACTGGAGACAACAGTCTCTCCAGTTCTCATATAATGTTACACTACACACATATATGGAGTAGGGTAATAACAAGTGTTCACATTCTTTACTGGTACAGAATGGGAATGTTTACAGAACAAGGTCTATAATCCTGATGGGCAAATATTTAGGAAACATCAGTTTCATGAATACTCTCTAGCACAATAGTTTGTTTACATCACACGATAAGAAAAAACATTCATCAGTGTAAATTGTTCTGATGTCTTGACACTAGTACTCCTTTGAAAGGTTAACATGCTTACACACACAGTCACATTTCACAATATTATCATTTCAACCACATTGGTTCACATCACAAAGAATGAGAATCAGGAAGTGCGTTTACATGGGCCAGAAACTCACAACAGGTGCTTTGCACAGTTTAAAAGTAAATGGAATTGACATATCTCCATCAATATAACTGGGTGCTGGGATAGATGTCAAAATATAACAATAGATGACAATGGGCTTTCCATCTGTCACAGTATTAACATAAAATATACAACACTCACTCCAGTTTAAATCTAAATCCACATGTGTGATAAAATCTTAGTCAGCAGAGTTTAGAAGTTGTGAGGGGTGAAATATAATTATGAAAATTGTAAGGCCACCTGCTGTGGTACTGAAATATATTCCTAGTAATTGGGACATATATATACAATAATAATAATTACCAGCATGGCCCATACATCTCTCTTCTTCTTCTCCGACAGTGTAAATATTAAATTCAGCCCCACAGTGTTATTCACTTTTGAAGCTCTCAAACCAGTCTCAGAATTATCTGGACTAAATCTAAATTAAAGCCATACAGTGATTTATCAAGCTAATATCGCCATGAGGTAAAATCAACTTAGGAAGGCTTAGGTATAATGAATATACACTTCATTCCTTTTTTAATTGTCTCACCATGCTGGAAACCGGAACTGGCCGAGATTTCACATGAGGACATAAATTCTCACTTAATTAATATAATTATAATAATTAAAAATAACAATGCACGTTTCTAGTATTAAAAAAAAACAACAACATTATTCCAATGATTAAATAGATCATATGTTTGCATACATGTACATACTAAATTATAAACGTGGTTAGTAAGGATCAGGGAATTTATCACGGTTTCTAAACCATCTGGGCATCAAATTCCATAGAGTTTAACCTGTGAAATTAATTCAGAGCAATAAGCACCAATAAGTCAAAATAAACTAATTCTTTTCACTAACCCCTGGTAGGTAATTCAAACTCAGACAACAAGACTACAGAACTGACTACCACTTTAGCCTGAGCTAAGTCAGTTGAGGAGAGCAGACTGTTGCCTGTCTTTTCCCAATAGTGCCTGGTATGAAAATGAAAGTATGAAGTCCTAGGAAGGGGGAAACAACTCTTGAGTTACTCCTTGCACTACCCATTCGCCTTTAAACTTCCTAATTATAATATTGCTATAATAAAGCAATAAGTAAAAGGTAAGAAAATATAATAATAATGCTAATATAAAGCAATACTTAAAAGGGAAGAAACAGCTGTCCAGACCAGCTCGTCACATATAACAAAGCATAAAAAAATTATTATTAAGAACAGAAATACAAAAATGGTCTCGTGCGATCCGCTGTTGTCAGTTCACCGGAAGTTCACGAAAGTCACTTGACTTAACTATGGTAACGTGAAATTTACAAATAACTCTTTCTTATATACGAAAGGATTGCACATTTTTAAAAACATAGCTTGGCCTGGTCCAAAAATTAGCCCGTTGGGTGTGTATTAATTCAAACGAAAGCACTGGCAGCGTCAATAAGGCTTGAATCCTTCCCCATGTTTTCCTGGTGTCAGCGCCCCAATTAAAGGCTTGAAGCCCTCCCCCATGTTTTCCTGGTGTCAGCGCCCCAATTAAAGGCTTGAAGCCCTCCCCCATGTTTCCTTGTGTCAGCGCCCCAATTAAAGGCTTGAATCCCTCCCCCATGTTTCCTGGTGTCAGCGCCCCAATTAAAGGCTTGAATCCCTCCCCCATGTTTCCTGGTGT